TTATTTATTCATGTCTAGGCTTAGAGTATTATTTTCTGTTTTCACGTTCACTTTACACAGCCCAACATTAATCTAAGAACCCACTCTTCCAAGTAATACACAAGGCGGTGATTTATAGAAAAATAAAAAAATCCTTTCCTGTTCACAATCTGGAGTTCTTCAACTCAGTGCCATATTTAAGGGTGCTTTGTTTCAGAGGATGATTAGAGTGGCGCCCTTGGTACTGATTATAGTGGAGCTATTTGTACTGCCCAAGTCTGGGCACCACATTATATTAAAACTTCCATTTTGGGGTATGTAGTGACTAAAAATTGTCTCCCAGCATAAACTTGGCATCAACCATCTATCTCAGCAGAAGCAAGATTATTGAGTGTAGAACCACAGGAACCCAGCGCTTTTTTTATACTTGTGCAGGAAAAGGGACCCTGCTGAAATAGCACCTATGGTTCCTCCATTCTTAGATGAAAATTTCAAGCATTGAGGGCTCTTTCCCAAAGTATAATCAGTAGGTTGCCATGACTGTGGCAGGCCCTCATCTCTTACATTGCTAGATCCCGAATTTTCTAGAACAAAATCATTTTAGCTTCTTTTTAGAAGCAGCAGCAGAAAATGATGAAGCCTTGTCTGCTCCATTGAATAGCACTTCTGACTATGGTTTCTCTGGAGTCCCAGCATTTCCAACAGTTCCCCAACTAAAATGGAATTTATGTAATGCATGTCTCTGACATGGTGAAGATTGAGAGTTCAGCTCTAACAAAAGCCATTAAGCATGAACTGCACCCAAAAGTTGGCAGGGCTGTGGAATCACGGACAGTACAACTTAGGGAAAAAAGTGAGGACAATATGGCCTTAACCTGTCACAATTCAAGGCATATGCTTGGCGGTCAACATCACTATCTCTATATAGGCATGTCTTACTGAAATGCCCCTATTTTACCCCTAGGATGGCCATGTTTTATATGTTTAAAAGCCCAAATTAATTGGGCATAAATAATTAATTACATTATCACTTTGAAGTCTTTTTTAACAGTTCTGTTTATACATGTCAACAAAGGGACCAAGTGCACCTGGCCTTACACTATTTCACTAAATGAGAAAAAAATTAACATCTGTATAATAAGTATGAATTGCCCAGGGTGTCTACTTCTTGCCAGGCACTGTGCTAAGCATTTCGCATGCATTATCATATTCAACTCTTCAAAAGAACCTTAAAGGTGACACTGTTATTGTCCCTATGTTACAGAAGAAGAAACCGAGTTGAGAGATTATTTGCCAATAGACATACAATTTGTAAATAACAGATGCTTTACAACTGGGAAAGTAGTACTCATATTTTCCCCCCATTGAAAAAAAGGTGAAGAAGTTGCTTCTGGTTAAATTCTTAAGATATTCTTGAGACAGAACTTGGGATCAGAACCAGATAGGTCTGCAGCTCTGGCCACCTGAAGACTTTTCAGCCTCTCCTTGGACACAGAGTGTTCAGACCGTCTTTGCTCAGCCAGTCACTTAGCTTTCCCCATTCACTCGTTCCTGCTTAGGGAAAGAGTTATCAACAAAATTCAAAATTCAAAAACTTACGTGGAAGTCTAATATAATTTTGATAAGAAAAACACTAAATCAAACTTTATACTCAGTGCTTAGGGCTTTGTATGCATTGACTAGATAAATTTCCTACATCCACCCAGAAGAAATTGCTTTCTTTTTTTTTTTTTTTGAGACTGAGTTTCCCTCTTGTTACCCAGACTGGAGTGCAATGGCGCGATCTCGGCTCACCGCAACCTCCGCCTCCTGGGTTCATGCAATTCTCCTGCCTCAGCCTCCGGAATAGCTGGGACTACAGGCGTGCGCCACCATGCTCGGCTAATTTTTTGTATGTTTAGTAGAAACGGGTTTCACCATGTTGACCAGGATGGTCTCGATCTCTTGACCTGGTGATCCACCTGCCTTGGCCTCCCAAAGTGCTGGGATTATAGGCGTGAGCCACCGTGCCCGGCCTGCTCTTTTTTTTTTTTTTTTTTTTGAGAGGGAGTCTCACTTTGTCACTAGGCTGGAGTGCGGTGATGTGATCTTGGCTCACTGCAACCTCTGCCTCCCAGGTTCAAGCGATTCTCCTGCCTCAGCCTCCCGAGTAGCTGGGACCACAGGTGCGCGCCACCACGCCCATAATTCCAGCCACTCGGGAGGCGGAGGCAGGAGAATTGCTTGAACCCGAGCGGTGGAGGTTGCAGTGAGCCGAGATCATGCCACTGCACTGTAGCCTGAACAACATAGCAAGACTCCATCTCAAAAAAAACCAAAAACAGGGTAAATAACCAATGATTCAGCATACATTGCAATCTTATATAAAAAAAATTTCTGAATATGTATACAAGTAATATTTATATTCCTGTAATAAAAAATATTTTGTGTGCACACAAACTCAAAAGGATATTATTCCTGGAGTAATAATTTCATGTCAGGAGCATAAAGTTTTGAAATAAGTTGGAAGATGGTGAGGATAATTTTGTATACTTTAAATACTTAAATGCAATGAACTATATATAATAAACTTGGCTAGAAAGGTAGTCTTAGAGACCTGGCGCAACAAGCATTGTTGAGATTTTTTAAAAAGCCATTTGATGGTCTTATAATTTTCCATTATCAAACTACCCCCCATAAACCTGTGAATCTAACCCAAGAAGTATGTCAATAGCTGGTTGTTTAAGGTTAGGTTTATGAAATAGTAACAGAACTGTGCAGGGGTCAAATATGCTTATAATATGCCCAAACATGCTTAGGTGAAGTCAGTAAGAGTATCTGAAGCTAATACAAGCATGGCATATCCTTGTGACTGAAAACCCAGCACAGCGGGTGCTGTTACGTGTAAGCAGGTACAGCGCTCCGTTTCCCCCCTGCTGGCAGACCCTCGTCACTAAAAAACGATGAGCTGCTTTCACTAGGACTACATCACACATGCCCAGCGAGTATCTCCGGGGCTTGAAAGCAGTTAAGATCGAACCTGGGGAGAAACTGGGCACAGGAAGGAAATTTAAAAACGCCTAATTATTCCCAAACCCATCCCACTGCCCTAAGAGCTGCCTATGTGCTGACTTTCTTAAAGAGTCCCGCAAAATCTTGATTCTCCAAAAATTAAACCCATTTGGAGCTGAGACAAGGTGAGGTCCACGCCTGGTATGATCAAGCTACCATGGATCTCACTGAGTCTGGTTCGGTTCTAGCCCCGCGGAGGCCAAGCCTCACCACGAGGGTGAAGACCCAGAGGCATGGAGGAAGGGAATGAAGGCGAGAAAAGGAGAAAGGGGGAGACCTCCGGGCCACACTTCTTTCTAGTACCAACAAAAAGAGAAGCCGCATACTGACCTAAATCATCTCTCAAAGGCGCTTTATAAATTACAGGGACAAAGGGAGGGGGTGGCGGGTGGCCCGGGAATCCTACAGACACCCTACCCTCTGACCCGCCCCCCTCCCCCTCCAGCACAAGGGAAAGAACACAGAAAACAGAGCTCAACTCGGCCATTGGCGACAAGCCCCCTCCGGTTTTCTATCGCCCATCCATTCGTCCCCTAGAAAAAAAATCCACGTAAACACCACAGCCACCCCCTGGGGCAGGCACTCCCGCTCCGAGGTTCCTAGAACAGGAGGCCGGGGCATTTACTTAGTTAGATTTTTCTTGCTTACTCATTTCCCTCGAGCACCCAACCCCCCGTTCCCACTCCAAAACCCCGCTCAACCGCCTACCCTCACCGCTCCAGCCCCCAACAGAATTCGGTGCCCCCGCGGCGTCGGCGGCCCCCGAGCCGTCCCGGTCACTAACCTGCTGCTGTAAGGGCATTTCCGAAACCAGCCTAGCTCCAGGGGGAGGTGGGGGACCGGCTGGAGAGGGGGCCCGGAGGGCCGAAGAGACCGGCGGCGCCGGGCGAGGGCGGGCGCCGGTGGGGGGGTGGGGAGAGGAGAGGGAGGGTGGCGGTGCCGGGGACGGGTGCGAGGGCGCTGGGACCGTCCCAGGCCAGGGAGCCGGCGAGCAGGAGGAAGTGGGTGCCCCCCTCTCCCCCTCCAGCGCCCCCTCCCGCCGCCGCCTCCTCCCCAGTCACAGGCGCGTCCTCCGCGCACGTGTGCGAAACGTCACCGGCGGGTCCGGGAGAGAGGGACAGACCCAGGCGGCGGGACGGGAACCCGGCTGCCCCCGCCCTCCGTCGCCGGGGGGCGGAGAGGGGGACAGGGCGGGGAAGGAAGGGGCAAGTGGAGAGGCGGGTCAAGGGCAGGCCCGGGGCCCGGCGAGGAAGGCCTGGGCGCTCGGGCCACGCGGGCGCCGCCGCTGCCACCGCCAGGATGCGCCCAGGCCGGAGCGCCAGCCTGCGAGCCCCTCACCCCAGAGAGCCCACGCCCCAGTCCGCACCCGGCTTCCAGCCCCACCTCCCCCACGCCCGACTCCCCTCCACCTCCCCCAGCCCCTTTGTTGCCGGGAGTTACAGATCCTAAAATGTGTCAAGCGCAGCCCCGCCAATCCCTTGCGCTCGGAGCACGCCGCAGGGACCCCCGGCGACCAACGGACCTCCGAGGCCGGTTGAGGGCATGCACCCCAAGGGTCCCCCGGTTTCCACCCCTTGGAGCCCCCAGCACCCCGGTTCACTACTCCCTCCCCCACCCCCTTCTCCATCCGGGGCGTGACCCCTTCCTACGCCCGAGAAAGAGGAAGCTTCGAGTTGGAGGGGAAGGGACAGTGGGGGTAGGGAAAAGTGCAGGAAAAGAAGTGGGGGGGCCGAGAAAAGTTTTGGAGTGTTGGAGGTGGTTCGCGCCCAGGCAACCCCCGCCGCCCCGCGCGCCTGGCCGAGCCCCCCGGCCCTCCTGGCGCGGGGGAGAGCACTCAGGTCAACAATGAACCCTCGCCGGAGGGGCAGCCCCCGAGGCCCACGATGCTCGCCCTGCAGCGCGCCCACGACCCGTGCGGTGCAAGCCCACCTCCCGCCTGGGCTGGGGACGGTGGGGTGGAAGGGTATTACCGGAGGGCCGCCGCCGCCGCCTCGTCCCAGCGCTGGTGGCTGCTGCAGCAGCCCGGCTCTGCTGGAGGGTCCGTGCGGCGTGGTGTAGAGGAGGCTGCCGGCGGTCTGCTCCGCGCCGGGGGCACTGGGGAGGAGGGGGCCGGCGGCGACGGCGCCGCTGTGGAGGGAGGAGGAACAGGAGGTGGTGGAAGTGTTCGTGGTGAGGATCTGGATGTACGCGCCCGGGGCGGCGGCGGCGGCGAAGCCGGGGCTGGCTAGCAGTGCCCTTTTGTCCATGGAGGCTGCAGCGGCGGCGGCGACGACAGCCGCCCCCTCCCCACCCCCGGCGGTCACCAGGTACGGCTCCAGAGCGGGCTGGATCCCCTTTCTCATCTCTCGCTCCTGCTCTTTTTAGTGTTACGATATATTAATGTATTTTTTCAATTTCTTTATTATTTGCAGTCGGAGTTTCCAAGTCTCTCCTTCTCTCCTCCCCGCCCGGCGCTTCCGAGCCCCCTCTCTCTCTTTTCTTTTTATTTTTCCGCACCGCACAGGCCCCGGGGGCCAAAAATGATCGGGGCTCTGGAGAGAGGAGGGTCCCGGTCGCACGGATATCGGGCCCCAATCGGGGATGGAGGCGTCGGCGGCGGCCGATGCAACGGATTGCGAGGCGGCGGCGGCAGCCCGGGTGCTGCGGCCGGCAGCTGAAAAATGGCTCCAGGAAGCTGCTGCTGACAATGAATGAAGGGATACGGTTTACGCGCCAAGGTCCTCCCGCGAAACTCAGATTTCCCGCCGGCTTTTCAAACCATATTTGCATATCCCCGCCCCTCAACCCGCCGAGGACCGTTCCCACAGCCCATTGGGCCTCTATCTTTTTAATTCACTCCCAATCGTGGAGCAGGGCCGCGACTTGCTGGTTTCCATTGGCTGCCGGGCATTATGGTTACCGGGGTGACAGGGACCCTATTTGCATAGGTCTCCTTGATTGGCTGTGAGAAGAGCAGTTTTTAGGGGGTGGGGCAAAGACTTTGCTTCTCTCCCACGGAAGACCACGCCTGGCCTAGGCTCCGCCCTTGTCCCTGCCCGCCCGCCGGGCCGGAGCTACTGACCTGGGCAGGGACTCAGCGCCCTGCAGACTCAGTGTAGATCTAGTCTAGAGCGCAAGTTTCGCTTTTGGGAATTGTCAGGGTGACTAAGGGGACACTCTTTTTCCTTTGACCAGTCAGTGCAATATACGAACAACAGCAGGAGATTCTTCCAAATATATGCCAAAAGCAAGTTGGACCATGAGGACGATGCCTGGCAGGTGGAAAAGGAGCCCTTTAAATCGTGGGCTTCTCCCTTCCTGAAATCCAACCAATGACAAGGCGAGAGCTGATCCCGAGGCCGGGGCTGATAGACAGAAGCATGTGGGCAGACAGAATCGTGGGGGCAGAAGGTTCAGCAGACGCGGTTGCGGGCACCAGTTAAAATTCCAGATCATTCCCAATACCTTCATTATTGGCCTGGATAGGGGTAAAGTAAAAAATTAACTCTTTTATCTTACAACGAGTATTGGTTTGAATCCAGCATACATTCCCTCTGGCCCAGAAACACCCAGGGCAGTTAATCAGGGCTAACCTAGAACTGATCTGCCGGTTTCTAATCCTCCAAGCAGTAATCCGAAAAAGAACACGCTTCCCAGATGACGTCGTGCCCCCAACGAACGCTGGCACGCCCGGGCATCGGCACTTTATATCTTCAGTTCTGTAGGAAGTTCTCTGACTGGAAGCAAACACACGACTCAAACCTATCCCAAAACATTTTTTAAATAGTGGTTTTTGTTTGTTTAGTAAACTAGAAATTGTCATAGAAAAATGTGAAATGATTGTCAAGCTGACTCCTGAATTGGTGAAATATTCATGGGTCTTAAAGATTGCTCCTAAGACTGATCAGGAAAAGAGACCCCTGCAGGAAAGTGGGGAAAGGTATATATGTAGAGGGTAGCTCATAATTTATAGTTACGTGCAAAACAGCTCCTGAATTGCTGCTGCTCATAGGTGATGAGGATTGCAACACCTTGAGCCCTTTCACAAGATTTTCGTTATCATCATTATTAATTTCCCAAAACTCACACTCAGAATGCTACGAAAGACCTGATAAGATGTGTCATCTCAGACTTGGACTCCTTAATATTTTAGTCTTGTTACCTTTTCTGAAGCAGATGAGTTAAAAGTCCTATTAAACCTTGCACCAGGCTCAGGAATATTTTAGTCTTACATTCAAGCTAGTTGAAGATCCATAGCCCTTAACATTTGTTGACACTGGTAGAAGTGACACAATTTTTTTTTTTTTTTTTTTTTTTTTTTAGACAGTCTCACTCTTGTTGCCCAGGCTGGAGTGCAGTGGCGCGATCTCAGGTCACTGCAATCTCCGCCTCCCAGGTTCAAGCAATTCTGCCTGGGCTTCCCGAGTAGCTGGGACTACAGGCGTGCGCCACCACACCTGGCTAATTTTTGTATTTTTAGTAGAGACCGGGTTTCATCATGTCGGCCAGGCTGGTCTGGAACTCCTCACCCTAGGTGATCCGCCCGCTTGGCCACCCAAAGTGCTGGGATTACAGGCGTGAGCCACCGCGCCCAGCCAGAAGTGACACTATCTTTAGGGCAGATTAAGTGGTACTCAAAGTGCATGAGCTAGAGGTGTAACATACCAGCAGCTTCCCTGCTCCTGTTCCATCACTGTTGCTTTCCTCTATGGGTATACCTGTGGAGGAGACTAGGACTGTCACTACTTGGATATTACCATCTGCAGAACATCACTGGCAGCATGCATTTGGTGGCAGTAGTGGGGGTTGTGAGGGAGGAGTGGTGCAACATACACAGTAATTATAGACCTGCGCCTTATGATTAGAGACAGCCTGGGACCCAGGCTGTGCGTAGAATCCCGGCTTGAGCTCCGCACAAGTGATTGTAGTAAGATAAATACGACACAGCCACAAGAAAGCAAGTGTTCGCACTCGAACCCCACACCTGCAATTCTGGTTTGGGATATTTATCATTCTGCCTTACCCAAGTTTTTTTAATGTAGGGTATTTGGTAGAGAAGTAGATGTTTTGACATTTTATGTCTAGTGAACTCTAGGATGAGCAGGTGGAGAGAAGGTTTCAAAGAGAAGGTAGTGGAAGATAAGATGCTAAAATCTCAGGAGGCTGAGGCAGGAGAATTGCCTGAACCCAGGAGGCAGAGGTTGCGGTGAGCCGAGATCACACCATTGCACTCCAGCCTGGGTAACAAGAGTGAAACTCCATTTCAAAAAAAAAAAAAAAAGATGCTAAAATCTGAGGTAGGCTGTTAATTTGTGGAAGAGGTAGCATGTTTTAGCAGAAAGAATGAGCTTTGGAGTCACAGTGATCTGGGTTTAAATTCTGGCTCGGCCATTTACTAGCTATATAGCTTTAATCTTTAAAAGCCTATTCTGCCTATTTTAAAGCCTGTTTTAAAGGCTTTTAAAGATTAAAGCTATAGAGCTAGGGGTGGTAATCCCAGCACTTTGGGAAGTCAAAGAAGGCAGATCACCTAAGTTCAGGAGTTTGAGACCAGTCTGCCCAACATGATGAGACCCCATCTCTGCTAAAAATATAAAAATTAGGCCAGTCATGGTGGCTCATGCTTGTGATCTCAGCACTTTACAAAGCCGAGGCGGGTGAATCACCTGAGGTCAAGAGGTCGAGATCAGCCTGGACAACATGGTGAAACCCCGTCTCTACTAAAAATACAAAAATTAGCCAGGCGTGGTGGCACATCCCTGTAGTCCCAGCTACTCAAGGGGCAAGAGAATCACTTGGACCCGGGAGGCAGAGGTTGCAGTGAGCTGAGATCGCGCCACTGCACTCCAACCTGGGTGACAGAGCAAGACTCTGTCTCAAAAAATAAAAATGGGCCAGGTATGGTGGCTCACACTTGTAATCCAAGCACTTTGGAGGCCAAGGCGGGCAGATCACCTGAGGCCGGGAGTTCAAGACCAGCCTGACCAACATGGTGAAACCCTGTCTTAAAAAAAAAATAAAAAATACATTTAAAAAATGGAGCCCAATATTTTGACACCCTTATTGCCAGGTTATGATGGAAAGAGGCAATGATACATATAAAGTGCCAGGCATATAGCAGATGCCCAATAATTGGCAGCTATTTATGAATCTACTTACTTGTGTGATCCTGCTTTGCAGCTCTTTGCCCAACCTGACTCCCAGCATCTAATCTTCCTAGAGCCCCTGGATGTCCACTTGCTGGAGCAGCTTAGCTTTGTCCCATGCCAGGAGTGCAGTCATGTCCTGGTTAGTTGTGATTATAGAATCCCGACTCAGAAAGTCAGGATAACAACATAAAGCCAGCTCTACTGTCTATCCCCTTCCAACCTGCTGATCTATTAGTGACCTGTGTCTGGCTGGGTCCTCAGTCTCAGCCCTCCTCACCTTCCCTTGAAGATGAATTTTTCTAGCACTAGAAAGGAATGTTCTTGTCAACTATTACCCCTCTTTCCCTTGCTCTGACTGGCCCAAGGCTTCTAGTTTTCCCAGAACAGGCCTGTGTGGTTGACAGGTGGCACCCCAAAAGTTATATCTGCATCCTGATTTCTAGACTCTGTGATTGTGATATCTGGGGGAAAAGGGTCTTTGTAGACGTAACTAAGGTAAGGATCTCAGGATAAGACCATTTTGCATTATCTGGGGTGGCCCCTACATTCAATGACAAAGGTCCTTACAGGTGACACCCAGGGAAGAGACACACAGAGAGGAGGAGAAAGCCATGTGAAGGTGGGGGCAGAGAATGGAGTGAGTGGCTACAAACCAAGGAATGGCCACAGCCACCAGAAGCTGGGAGAGGCAAGGAACAGAATCTCTCCTATTGCCTCTGGAGAGAGCAGAGCCCTGCCAACACCTTGATTTTGAACTTCTGGCCTCCAGAACTGTAGTGGATTAAATTTCTACTGCTTTAAGCCACTTAGTCTGTGGTAATTTTTATGGCAGCTTAAAAAACTAACACAGCTTGTTATCCTGCCTACCTGAACCTTCAAACCTCTTAACTGCTACTCATCTTGGGTTTTTCGAGACAGTTTCTCGCTCTGTCATCCAGGCTGGAGTACAGCTGTGATGAGATCATGGCTCACTGTAACCTCCACCTCCTGGGCTAAGTGGTCCTCCCACATCAGCCTCCCAAGTCACTGGGACTGCAGTGACACCACCAAGCCCGGCTAATTTTTGTGTGTGTGTATTTTTTGTAGAGATGGAGTTTCGTTATGTTGCCCAGGCTGGTCTTGAACTACTGGACTCGAGCTATCCACCCACCTTGGCCTCCCAAAGTGCTGGGAGTAAGGGCATGAGCCACCGCATCCGGCCCCCATCTTGTTTTTATTCCTCCCAAGATGTCATTTCTTGCTGGACATGAACGATACTGCTAGCCTGAGCTACAGACCCTACCGAAGAGTTTTCAACATATGACTTGCTGACTAGCAGACACAGACTCATCTAAGGAGTTTATAAAAATGCAGATTCCTAAGCTCTACTTCAACCGAATGAATCAGAATCCTAAGGCAGGGTCCGAGAATCTGCTTTTCACAAGTCCCTCCAGGTAATTCCTTTGAGCTCTGGAGACTGAGAGCTAGAGTCACGTGTATACCTTTGTACTTCTAAACTTCCCATTGCCACAGCTAGAATTGCCCCCCGACCTATGCCCCCATCCCTCGTGCCTAAATGCCTTGATGTGTGTTTCTGGTATCCTTCTTGCTCTGCATTCTTCCTGTTAATATGAGCTCTGGACTCCTTTCCATACATGCACACACACACACACACACACATGTTTATATACATACATACGTGTACATATGTATGTATATACATACTATCTACAGAGTTTCACATTACAATCTTCTCTGAAACTCTTCATTTTCATTTAGAAATACAATTTGGCCAACATCCATAAAATCTACATAAACAACTTCCAAGAAACAATGCTATCCAACAGTTGCGTGAGAATTCAGAATGGAAAAAATATTGTTAAAGGAGATAAGGAAACTGTTCATAAGCAAAGAAGGTCTTTGGAGCATTGAAAGTTTAAATTGTGCCTTTCATTTAGTTCAGCCAAATCTGGTTGCCACATCAGATTTAGAGCCTATAGTTTTACATTTTAGGATCTGGAGAAGACTAGTTTAGGAGTTTAAAGCTCATTTTTTTTGAGACCGAGTTTCGCTCTTGTTACTCAGGCTGGGTGCAATGGCGCGATCTCGGC